GTTGTTGGTGAGAGCATCCTCTGTCGCGGGTTGCCCTGGCGTCGATGACGCCTTCAGGATTGAGATCGCTGCTGACGGGTCAGCGACTGCAGCAACGTCGCAGATGGTTCTTCGCAACTTGTTTCGGTCATCGACGTTGCCCGCAGATGCCGCCCGCGTGCTGAAGGCCACCATCTGGGGGCACGAGCCGCTCGAAAACTATAGGTGTTGGGCCATCAAGCTGAAGCGCGGGACGGACATAGAGTTCGACGTAGACTTGTGCAATAAGTTGCGTAGACCTCGGAAAGTTGCTGCCAAGGACGGGGATATTGGCGTTGACCTCGGCTTCGGCATCACTGCCGACCTCAAGTGCCCCTCGGACAAGATCGACGGCGACGGCGACGCGTCGGACGGGGGTTCCAGCCAGGCCCGCGAGCCTTGCGGCGTGGACGGCGGCGACGGCGGCGACGACATGGAGGCCGTTGGCTCGCTCGAGGACTCTGGTGACGAGGTCGACCAGAGCGACAGCCCAGGTAAAAACGACGATGCCGATGAGGACGCGCGGGCCGCAAAGCGTCATCGTTGACAGCGGCGACGGCGGGGTTGACGGTGACGACCCCGCAGCCCCTGTCCAGTTAGTGAGGCTTTAAGCCGCCCCCCATCGCTGGCCACCTTAGCCTAATCCCTCAGGCCCTCAGGCAGGGCCCCGAGATCACTGAGATCCGAAGATCATGGATCCCTTCCCCTCCCCGCCATTCCATTGCTCCCGTGCGTGGGTTATCTCCCCCCTCTCTCTCTCTCTCTCTCTCTCTCTCTCTCTCTCTCTCTCTCTCTCTCTCACTCACTCTTTTTTTTGTTTCTTTCTTTTTTTCTTTCTCTCTCTCTCTCTCTCTCTCTCTCTCTCTCTCTCTCTCCCTCCCTGCCTCCCTCCCCCTCCCTCCCTCCCTCTCTCTCTTCTCTCTCTCTCTCTCTCTCTCTCCTCTCTCTCTCTCTTCTCTCTCTCTCTCTCTCTCTCTCTCTCTCTCCCTCCCTCCCTCCCTCCTCCCTCCCTCCCTCCCTCTCTCTCTCTCTCTCTCTCTCTCTCTCTCTCTCTCTCTCTCTCTCTCTCTCTCTCTCTCTCTCTCTCTCTCTCTCTCTCTCTCTCTCTCTCGTTCTCTGTCCGTCTCATGCGCAGCTCCCCGAGGACCTCCCCGAGCTCCCAAGGCCCGCCCCCAGGGTTCCCAAGCGGGCCGCAACCTGCGCAACTGTCGCCACGTTCGTGAGCTCCTGGGAGGCCCAGCGGAGCGGGGGGGGCGCATTCGGATCGCGTCGGGACCTCGCGACTCCTTGCGGGGGGAGCTGCCAACTGCGCAACTGTCGTAGGGCTTATAGGGCTCATAGGGCTCATAGGGTTCATAGGGCTCATAGGGCTCAAAGGGCTCATAGGGCTCATAGGGCTCATAGGGATCATAGGGACCATAGGGATCATAGGGATCATAGGGCCCATAGGGCCCATAGGGCTCGTAGGGCCCATAGGGCTCATAGGGCTCATAGGGCTCATAGGGCTCATAGGGCTCCTAGGGCTCCTAGGGCTCATAGGGCTCATAGGGCCCATAGGGCCCATAGGGCTCATAGGGCTCATAGGGTTCATAGGGCTCTTAGGGCTCATAGGGCTCATAGGGCTCATAGGGCTCATAGGGCTCATAGGGCTCATAAGGGCTCATGAGGGCTCATGGGCTCATAGGGCTCATAGGGCTCATAGCGCTCATATGGCTCACAGGGCTCACAGGGCTCATCGGTCTCATAAGGCCCATAGGGCTCACGCTCATAGGCACGGGGTGTCTCGTGGAATGTTTCGCGAGGTGTCTCGTGGAATGTTTCGCGCGGTGTCTCGTGGGATGTTTCGCGGGGTGTCTCGTGGGATGTTTCGTGAGGTGTCGCCCAGTTGGGTATCGTGAAAACGTGACCATGCTGCGCATGTCTATATCCCTTTCTGGGTTCGTGGGCCCATCATTTGCATCCGTCCTGGCGCCATCGAGGCCCCTACCAAGACGGCCTTGAAGCCAAGAGGACCTTCCACAGGAGCCCAAGGCGATCTCAGACGCTTCGAAGAGAGCCCGAGAGAGGCCTGGGAAGGCCCCACCAGGGGCTGGGCGCCGTTCGTTTTGAGCGCCCCTCAAAACGAACACCTCGAAGCTTTGTTTGTTTCCGCCCTGGCGCCCTCGAGGCCCCCCGCCAAGAGGGCCCCGAAGACGCGACGACCCCCTCAAACCGCCTCGGGAAGCCCCCAGAGGGCTTCAAGGGGGTTCCGAGGGGTCCCAGGAGGGCCCCAAGAGGGCCCCCAACGGGTGCAACGCACCCCCCCTTTGTAGCACCCGTTGGGTGCCCCCTTGGGGCCTTCTTGGGGCCCTCTTGGGGGCCTGTTGGGGGCCCTCTTGGGGCCCTCTTGGGGCTTCCCGGGGCGTTCTGAGGGGCCCCAAGGGGGCTCCGAGGGGTCCCAAGAGGGCCCCAAGAGGGCCCCCAACGGGTGCTACAACGCACCCCCCCTTTGTAGCACCCGTCGGGTGCCTTCTTGGGGCCCTCTTGGGGGCCTGTTGGGGGCCCTCTTGGGGCCCTCTTGGGGCGTTCTGAGGGGCCTCAAGGGGGCTCCGAGGGGTCCCAAGAGGGCCCCAGGAGGGCCCTCAACGGGTGCTACAACGCATCCCCCCCTTGTAGCACCCGTTGGGTGCCCTCTCTGGGCCCTCTTGGGGCCCGCTTGGGGCCCGTCTGACGGGTCCCTGGTGCCCTGTTTGACCTCCCCCCCTCATCGTCAGGAACTCCGAAGAGAGCTCCGAGAGAGGCCCAGGAAGACCCCGCGAGAGGCCACGCACTGTTCGTTTTGAGCGCCCTTCAACACGAACAACACCGACCCCACCCCAGCACGACCACACCCCAGCACGACCACACCCTAGTACGACCCACCCCAGCACGACCCCACCCCAGCAAGACCACACCCCAGCACGACCACACCCCAGCACGACCTCACAACAGCACGACCGCACCCCAGCACGACCACGCCCCAGCACGACCACGCCCCAGCACGATCACGCCCCAGCACGACCACACCCCAGCACGACCTCACCACAGCACGACCACCCCCCAGCACCACGCCCCAGCACGACCACGCCCCAGCAGGACCACGCCCCAGCACGACCACCCCCCAGCACGACCACCCCCCCAGCACGACCACCCCCCAGCACGACCACACCCAGTCGCACCCCCGTGGGATGTTTCGTGGGTGCCTGGTTGAGTGGCTGCCTCTTCGTAGGGTGTCTCGTGGAATGTTTCACGGGGTGTCTCGTGGAATGTTTCGCGAGGTGTCTCGTGGAATGTTTCGCGCGGTGTCTCGTGGGATGTTTCGCGGGGTGTCTCGTGGGATGTTTCGTGAGGTGTCGCCCAGTTGGGTATCGTGAAAACGTGGCCATGCCGCACATGTCTATATCCTTTTCCGGGTTCGTGGGTCCATCATGTTGATCAGCCATTTGATGACGCAAGTTGGTGCGAATGGGTTGGGTACGTCCCTGGGTAGTTATTTATGGCGGTGTGTAAGTTTGAAACCGCGCCCTCAGGGCTTCTCTCGTGGCCCGATCGGGGATGATTGGGGGATATCGCGACGCTGTCTCCCGAGCCTGGGGGGGGGGGGGGCGGCTGTGACCTGGCGCGCGACCTTGTCCCAGGACGGGCCGCCAATCCTCGCGGTCGACCAGGTGGGCTTGAAGGGCTACGATTACGCTGCTTCGGACAGATCCCGTTGCGTGTTCTGCGACGGGGCCCGCATTGCCAAGTCTGCCTTTAGGTTTCAATTCAGAATGAAGCAGGGGGTGGCACTGAAAGACCTTCAGTACCTTCACTACGAGCGCATAGCTCGCATCCCCCCTGACTCTAAAATTAACAGCCTCGCACTTTTGAGGTATTGGCATCGTGCCGGGGCCGACGACGGCACGAAAGCTCTCTTAGACAGAGCCTGCCGCTTGCTGGAGTAGACCCAACGAAAACGGAAGTAGAAGGTTCACAAGGGGGAAGTCTTGCTGGGTAGACGCGCTTGCACCGTTGCACAGGCGCGCTGGTGAGCCGCGCGCCTGTGGAGCGGTGCAAGCGCGTCTCCTTAATTTCATTGGTATTGTCGTTCTCCGTCGCCGTCGTCTCCTCGCTGGATGCCCCAGTCGCCGCTTCCGTCACGAGGATGGGGGCGGGCCAGGACTTCAGGGCAGGGGGGGTGAAATCTCGTCAAAGCGCGCCGCCTCGGCGATGCGCCACCCGTGCAGTTGTTGAGATTTGGCGTGGGTTTGCAAGCGCACTTACGCCCTGCAAGACAGCAGTTCAGGCCCCACCCCCTCCGCACTTACGCCCTACAAGACAGCAGTTCAGTGCCCCCTGCTCGCTCTCGAGCGGAGTGGGAGATCACGGGGGGGCCGGGGCGGGCCGCGCTGGCCCTTGCAGGGGGAGCTCTGAGAGCTCAGCCCCGATGACTCGAAAAGAAGACGTCGACAGCAAACCGAGCCCCAGGGCAATCAGCACGCAAGGTGTCTTGGTCGTTCTCGGGGCAGGTTGAGATGCAGGAAGGCGCCGCGCTCACAAGACTGACTTCAGCGAATAGGGGCTCCAGGGGCTCGGCTTTTAAAAAAGGCCTCCAGGGGCTCGGCTTCTTCTAAGCCGTCCGACGTCGCAAGGTAGTTCGAGTGCCGGGGGCATTCGGCCGCGCGCCGACAGGGGGGCGGCGAAGTGCGGTAGGGGTTCTGCGAGGTACGGGGTGTTTCTTGCGACCCCCCACCGGTTGGGTTTCTGGGAAATTCTCCGCGGGCTCAGGGGGCACCCCTTCTGTCCAAGACTCCCCCCGCGGTTCGCCGCCCTCCTCGACGCGCCGCTGGAGGGGGGGGGGCGTCCCCATCATGCCATTCTTTCCTGTCTGCAGCCGCTCATCTCGGTTTTTTTGGCAGGCAGGCCATCCAGTGGCCTGCGGCCTGTGCCCGACTGACCGCGTCAGTTCTCGGGCATGGCTCCAGGGGCTTCCAAGCAGCAGAACGCGGCGGGGGGCGCCGCCATGATCAATGGGAAGAGGATCTTCAACAAATGGAAGCACTTGCCGCCGAAACAGTACCTGAGCTGCGAGAAGACGACCCACGAGCTCGACAGGGGCGCCGTGAACGAGCCAGCGTTCTGGGCGTGCACCAAGAGGAGCCGTGACAAATCATCGGCTGGTGGCTACAGGTTGTGCGGCAACGAATGCTACCCGTGCTCGGACGTGCGGAGGGGCAACTTTGATGGCGTCTCCCAGGCCGAACTGAACGAGAAGAAGAGTCAGAACGCCGACCTGGAAGTCAAGTGGGTTGAGTTGCGGAAGCGCAATGTCGGTGGCCTCGAGAAGCGCGCGAAGGGCGACAAGGAGAAGGTCGACTTGTCGAAGTACACGCGCAAGGTTACCGATGTCAAGAGCAAGTTCGATCAGCACTACGTTGAAGGCAGCTGGATTCCTTTATGGGAATTCGTGGTGGACCACAAGCTCCCGTTCAAGAAGGGCGTCAACTCGGTGGGCGAAGTCGCGCGGCACATCGAGGCGAAGCATTCGCACTACCGTGTTGCCGAGGATGACGATGGAGAGATTGGCGTTGAGGTCCCTGACGAGCACAAGGGCGTGAAACGCTTTAGGCGCGGTTGCAAGACGTCGGCGGAGCAGCGCAAGTCCAGGGTTCATAATGACGAGGCCAGCATGAAGGACCACCACGAGGATCTCTGCGGCCTGCAAGCTCGGCCCGACGCCCCGCGCTACTGTGCAGAAGGGGGCGGCGCGCGCGCTTCTGCGGGTGCGCAGGCCGTCGGTCATCGCAACGGCCCCATCCCGCCCTCCGCGAGCAGACCCTGCCTCGACTCGACTGCGATTTAGCGACGCCCGACGGAGACCGAGCGGAAGCACCGTCGCGCATCGCAAGATCTCGGTCGAAGCGCGGCAGGGGCCTGCTGTGCGCCACACTCATTCATCTCTCTGCTCTCCCGCTGCCCTCCTCCCAGGCTGCAGCGAGGGCTGTGCAGCCGTCCACGCCGCGCACCGAGTGCACCGGCGGCTTGCGGAGCTTGGCGCAGAGGCGGCTCGACGACGGCTCCGACGCTGCATCCATTGCGACGGGCGTCGCTGAAGCCGACCAGCCGCGGGGCAAGATGCGAGGCAGTTTCGACGCTGAGCGCAGCAGCGCGGCAGGCGGCACCGAGCGGGAGGGCGACGACGAGGTCCCCATAGCCAAGAAAAGAAGTCGACGGATGGCCGCCGCCACCGTGGTAATGATGAGGCCTCGCTGATCCAGGTTGCAGGCGAGCTGACGACCGCCTACATTGACGACTTCAACCTGGCCGAGCACTGGAACCAGCGCCCTACTAAACGAGCTTTCCAGACCGTCATAGGCAGGCTACAGACCATGGCGCGGAGGTGCGGCGCTCTGATACCTTCCGACAAGTGCCAGAACTTATCGCTGCAGCTGTCGGATCGTGCCGACTTCTTGCAGACCCGTCATCGCGTTCTGGACGGTCTTCGAGGCGACTTCGCTGACTTAGTCTTTGGCAAGCTTGTCGGGTGCGAGTTTTCCGTCATTGAGATGGTGTTCAAAGACGCAGGTGACGATCTCATAATCAACATCTTCACGTCGACAATGCAGCAAGTGGCAGATAAGTCCATTGGGACGCGGGAACAGCACTCTCTTAACCTGAACGCGTTCCTGAAGTCCATCCAGTGCAAGAAGAGCGTGCCCACCGAGACCGTGGGCTTCAATCTGGTTGGGTTTTGTCCAGGTGTTGAGAAGGCGCAGCGGACGCTGACGCTGGTATTCCTCGAGAAACTTTGGCGCCAGCCAGACGAGTCCACCAACATCCACGTTGCCAAGGTAATCGACGTGATCCTTGGGACAGACTTGCCTCGCAACTTTGATGGCCTCAAGTCACGCGAGTCAGATGGGCTCGTGGGGGAAAAGTGGTGTTGGCAAGTCGCCGTGGACATTGCGTTCACAATTGCCGCTGCACGTGTGCTGGAATTGCTTGGAGGTTCCAACGTATTCGGCCCAGGAATCAAGGCCGCGAACGTCAGCATTGTTGATAATCAGGCGATGGTCTCGGCCAGGGTCAGGGCTTTGGTGCGGGTGCCAGGTCAGCACGGCAACCGCTTGAGGCGAGCCTGGGACGTCATGGAGCAACACCACGAGGACAGTCAGTGCGCTGGCAATGAGTGCGCCGACGCCGACGCCGTGACGCGCTTGAGGAAGACCGTGCAGGACGTGCTAGACTCCATTAAGGAAGAGTCTAACGTCGATTGGGCCAACGGCATCAACACGTGGCTGGACGCTGCAGATGACCAGCGCCTCTCGAACGATATTTGCTCGTTTGGCAACTTGTCGCATGCGAGCGCGCGGACAGATAGTCAGCCCCCTCCAGATATGATACAGGACGTGGACCAGGGCAACGAGATGGTGAATTGCATTCTGACTCTTGCGGACCATTGTCTGCGCCATTCCGACCAGCTCAACGTTATCATGGGTGACATCGCGAATCCTTGCGAACGTCAGCAAGCGCCCGAAGCCGCACCTGATGATCCTCACGGCACCGTGTGCGACCAAGGCATCGCGATGTTCGAATGGCTGAAGATGGCGATGGGCGTCCTCACGCACTACGACACGTCGGCGGACTCGACGGTCATCCAGGCGAAGGCCATCACGGACATTCTCGCGACGGCCATTGGCCTCGAGGACACTCCTGTGAATACCGCAGACGACGCCAAGCAGTTCATGCACTCGTGGAGCGACGCATGCGTCCGTTTCCGCCGCGCGCGGAAGGCCGCCGATGTGTTCATGGACGCGGGCAAGGAGATCAATTTGTTCGTGAATAAGGTCATCGCCAGCGACGCCATCAGTCGAGGTTTCGCGATGACGGTCAGCGACTTCATCGGGGACCCAGCCTCACCACTTGCCCTTGCTATTCTGCAGGAGTAAGGTTCCCTCAGCAACGTGCTGCCAGCCGAAGCCAAACACTTAATGGCGGCAGCGAGGTCGATTTCGAGGAACCATGATGCGGCGAGCGCCTTGAAGAAATCCAGGTTCCTGGGTGGCGTCGTGGAGGTCGCCCAGATCTTGGAAGGCATCCACGCCGCTGCAGTCGCCGCCCCGAACGCCTACCACAAGTTGGACGATACGGCGAAGCATGAGGGCACCTTTGCCAAGGAGCTGAAGTCGCACATCGAGTCCATGCAGGCCAAGGTGGACGAGGGCACGTCTCTTAATGAGAAGTTCCACGCAGAGTTCAAGGTCGTCCTGGAGTCGGTCAGCACGTGGGATTTTACTAAGTGCATGTGGGTGGCTGGGGAGGGGACCAAGGACCAACGGTTCTTGATGAGCGGCGTTGATGCGCTTCTGCCGAAGGTCAGCGTGTGGACGAACATCGCTACGAAGGCAAAGGCGCACGTGGAATTCCTTGGCGAGAACGACGAGACATACCAGAAGATGGTTAAGCTTGCGACTACCATGGCGGAGCTCGACAGCGAGGCGAAGGTGCTGGCGACATTTATCTCTACGTGCTTGCTGGCATCGCGTTTCATGAGGTATCGGGAGGAGAAGCCCGACGTCCTGAAGATCAAGGTTCCCCAGCAAGTGGCGCACGCTGAGCAGAAGTGGAAGGTTTCAGCGTCGAGCCTGCCGCCGACCATGCAGGCCAAATTGGTCGAGGCCCTCGGCGCGGATCAGCCTTCCCCGAGCGGTGCCGCGAGCTCCAGCGTCAGCGGCATCGACGTCGTCGACTTGCGCTCCGAGGGGAGTTCGGCTACGACTGCTGCGACGGTGGCGGATGTGCCGGATGGTGGCCCGAAAAAGAAGGTGCGGAGGCTCACCAACAAGAGTAATATCGATTGAGCGGGCAGAGGCCGTTTCTGTTCTGGGGTCGCGCGCGACGGCAATGGCAACCGATTCCGTTTGGGCGCGCACTGGAACATCATGAGGAACATCGTTGCCGTCGGCAGCATCACCGCTGGTCAACGCCACCCTTTTCATCGAAGGGCTCGGCGTGTCTCATCGTCGTCGCGGCCGCGACGGCGACAGGAGAGGACAGGACTGAGGGAGGAGGAATAGGAGGAGGAGGAGGCGGAGGAGAAGGAGGGGGAGGAGGAGGTCCATGACGCGAAGGATGAGCAGGAGGACGAGGGGGAGGAGCAGGAAAAGGAGGAGGAGGAGGACGAACGGGAGGAGGAGGGAGAGGAGGATGAGGGGGAGAGGATCCCCCCGTGCTTCTCGCTGCTCCTCGCCCCCCCCGCTGGCCGTGCCCCTCCTCGCGGACGTATGGCTCCTCCCAGGAACTTTGAACGGTAGTACTCATCGGGGCGAGGGCCGACCGCCCTGCGTGGGTAGGGTGGGGGAGGGGCAACGGGGGGAGGTGAAGGGCCAAGTGACGGATAGGGGGAGACAAACAACGGAGGGGGCGGCCGAATGGATGACAAAGTTGGGCGGTCTTGCGGCGAGGTCAGAAGGATGAGACGGGCGATGAGGATGAGCCGTGGGGTGGGCAACCTTGGCTCGCGATTATCGTGGCTACATTGAGGGCTTGGCTGGGGGGCCTCGGGATCCACTGGCCACGAGGTGCCTGAGGGGCGTGCCGAAATGCGATTCCCAGGGCCTGCCCCGAAGGGCCTGCCCCGAAGGGCCGCCAGGTCCTTATGATGCTCACTCTGGGCGAGGCAACGTATGATGCGGCGACGCTGCGACGTCGGCGCAACGCGCGCCGCGCAGGACAACGTGCATTTGCGTCTGTATATGAGCGCTGAGATGTTTTCCCCCATGCATTTGCACGCGCTTCACATGTCTCTCATTATTTCCATTGGTTTACCACATGTAGTTACCAGTGTAATTACATACCAAGTGCTATTACATCCTTAATGCACGATCAGGGATACAACCACTCGTGCCCACCCCGTCCTGTCTTCAGGCACTTCGCATTCCCCCATGACGGCTGGGATGGGTGCACGGGTCGTCATCCCCGGTGCTGTACGCACGGCTTTTGTGGCGGGCGGCGTGGCCCGACCGGGGTCGACGTCGCGCGGCAGCGCTTGCCCGCGAGGGGTGCTCGATTTGGGGCTGTCGGCGAGGTCGAGTATTTCTCATGCTTCGTCCAAAATCCCCTTGCAGGAGGACACGCCCGAGCTAAAGTTAAGTCGGGCCTGTCCCCCTACAGGGGGGATTTTCGACGAAAAAAATACCCCCAAAATAGTAAAAAAATAGTCCTAACATAGTCTGGGGACTATTTTTTGAGTATTTTTTTGCCTTCTTGGGGTATTTTTTGGGGGTATTTATTTTTGTCGTCGGAAATCCCCCTGCAGGAGGACACGCCCGGCCTAGAGCCAGCCCCCTGGTGGTTTGTGTGGGGCTTCGCTCGGGCCTCCGGCGGCCGCTCGGCACGGTCCCGGGGCGCCCCCGGAGCGCCCTCGGCGAGGCGCAGCCACTTGGCAGGCACCTCGAGGCTCGGGCCAGACGAAAGGGGGGGATAGGGAAGGAGGAGGAGGAGGAGGAGGAGGAGGAGGAGGAGGAGGAGGAGGAGAAGGAGGAGGGAGGAGGAGGAGGAGGGAGGAGGGAGGAGGGAGGAGGAGGAGGAGGAGGAGGAGGAGAAGGAGGAGGAGGACAAGGAGGAGGAGGGTTGACGAAAGGGGGGGATTGGGGAAGGGGGGGTTACGAAATCTGCTGCATGCAGCTGGTTTCGGCCACACCGAGGGGCCCATTCCTCGACACGTGGCCGCATCCGGCGCCGGGAGGCGCCAGGAAGAGCAGCCACGCGAGCTGATTCTCAAACACCCCCTTTGCTATCCCTCCCGTTCGCCCGGCCCGAGAGGCCGGAAAGCCGCCGAGAGCCAACGACGATCCTCGAAAAAAAGCGGGTTCTCGAAACTTCGTGGCCCCTCCAGTGTTCCCTCGTCGCCAGCTGCCCCCTCATCAGTGGGTGGTCGAGCCCAGCGGCGCCGCGGTCTATTTCTGGGCCTTCTTCGCTCCCCCTCTCCCCCTTGGTCCGCGCCACGGCAGGGCGCGGCATCACCGTCGAAGCCGATGACGAGGATGGGCAATGTTCCCAAGGGTATACCCTTACATGAAGCCGGGCATGTCTTTCTACAGGAGGAACACCAAACATATTGCATAATAATAGTCTGGACGCGAGTTTTTGATTCTTTTCGATTTAGTTTCGACAATTCTTTGACTACTGCCATTTTTCTTCCTACATCCGCCTGTAGGAGGGAGGACATGCCCGGCCTAACTTGCCTTCTCGATCCGTCCCTGACCCCTTTCGCTGGCCCCTGGGGTCTGGGGAGGAGGAGGATTTCGAACAATTTCGTCGGAAGGAGGCGTCCTGGGAGGCCGCGGGCAGCAGCAACTGGTGCGGCCAGTCCAACAAAGCTATGTATCGAAGGCGCCTGCGGCGAATCACCGCCGCCACCGGATGCTTTGAAGAGTCTACGTGACCGAGCGTAGCAGGCAGAGGTCGGCCAAGCTGTCGGACTACGTGGTCCCCCAACTGCTGTTGAAGCCCTTCAGAGACCACGGGGGCGAGAATGAAGAATAGGAGGAGAAGGAGGAACATAGAGGTGGAGGAGAAAAAAGGCTTCTTGGGAGCCTCTTGGGGCACTCTTGTGACCGCCTGGGGGTTCCTGGGAGCCTCTTGGATGCCTCTTGGGGGGTTCCTCGGGCCTCTTGGGGCCTTTGGAGGCTCCTTGGTCGGCTTTTTGACAGTCTCAGAGCGTTCCTGGCCCGTCTGTTGCCGTCGGAAGCCTTTTTACGGGCCTCTTTGGGCCGATTTGGAGCTCTTTTCGGACGCTTCAGGGCCGTCTTCGAGACCATCTTGCGCGGCGAGGGTCTCGGGGCCGTCATGGAGGCTCTTTTGGGGCCGTCTTGGGGGCCTCCTGGGCCGTCAGGGGACCATCTCGGAGGCCTCTTGGGTGCTCTTGGGCGCTGTTGGGGTCATCTCGGTGGCCTCTGGGGCCGTCTTTGCCGTTGGAATGTCGAAAATGAGTAGGAGCCCAAATCTTTTGAAAACCTTAGGAACATCGCTGATGTTGGCCTCTTTCGGGTCTTCCTGCAGTCTTGGAGGCCTCTTGGGCCATCTTGGAGGCCTTTGGGTCAACTTGAGGCCCTACTAGGCCGCTTTAGGTACACCTTGGGCTGCGCTGGATACATTTTCCGGCCATCTGGGACCCTGTTGGGGCCATGAGCGCCGTCTTGGAGGCCATCTTGACCATCTTGGAGGCCATCTTGGGGCCGTCTCTGGGAGAACACCCACGACCCAGCAATGCTCCCATTCCTTCTCGGTGGCAAGCGCGATCGGCCGACACGCCAGGCACCTCTTTGATAATTCAACCGGGGGCGGCGGATCGAAGACGCCTACGGCGAATCACCGCCGCCCCCTGTCTTTTTGGAAGCGCCTATGTGGCCGAACGTTGAGGCCATACCTGCCAAGCTATCGGACTATGTGTTCCCCGAGTCGGTTTGGAAAGTCTTCGGGGAACACGTGGGCATCTTGAAGGTCATCTTGGCCGTCTGGAGGCCATTTTGACCCTTTCGGGCCTTCTTGGAGGACGTCTTAAAGGCCTCCTGTGCCGTCTTGGGGGCCATCTTGAGCGTCTTGGAGACCTCTTGGCCTGTGATGGGGGCCTCTTGGGGCCGTGTCTTGGGCCTCCTGGGCGATCTTTGGGGGCACTTGGGCCGCCTCGGGCCGTCGGAATGCAGAAAAAACGCAAATGCCACAATCCTTCAACACCTCATAGGAAATCAGTGAATTTGGCCTTTTCGGCCCTTCCTGGAGGCCTCTTGGGCCGTTTTGGGCCATCTTAGGGCCATGTTCGGCCGTCTTAGTGGGCTCCTGGTCCGTCTGACGCCGTCGGAAGTCGTTTGGGGGGCCTCTCTGGGCCGACTTGGGGCCCTCTTGGAACGCTCCAGGGCCGTCTTGGAGGCCATCTTGGGCGCCTTAAAGGCCTCCTGTGCCGTCTTGGGGGCCTCTTGGGGCCGTCTTGGGGGTCTCTTGGGCCGTTCTGGGGCCATCGTGGAGGCCTCTTGGGCGATCTTTGAGTGATCTTTGGGGACTCTTGGGCCGTCTCGGGCCGTCGGAAGGCCGAAACGATGCAACTGTCAAAATCCGTCGAAGTCCCCCGGAAAAACAATGTTTTTGGCCTCTTCTGGCCTTCCTGGAGGCCCTCTGGGGGCCTCTTTGGCAGTCTTGGGCTAGCTTCGAGCCAACTTCGCCCATCTTGGTGGGTTCCTGGCACGTCTGACGCCGTCGGGAGCCGTCTTGGGGGCCTTTCTGGGCAGATTTGGGGCCCTCTCGGGGCGCTTCGGGTCCGTCTTGGAGGCCATCTTCGGCATCTTGGAGGGCATATTGGGCGTGCTGGAGGCCTCTTGGGCAGTCTTGGGGCCTTCTTGGGGCTGTCTTGGGGGCGTCTTGGGCCGTCATGGGGCCATCTTGGAGGCCTCTTGGGCGATCTTGGGAGCCTCTTGGGGGCCTCTTGGGCCGTCTTGGGCCGTCGGAAAGCCGAAAAGGCGCAAATGCCAAAATCCTTCAAAAACCTACGGAACATCCATGATTTTGGCCCTTCCGGGTTTTCCTGGAGGACGTCTTGGAGGGCTCTGGGGCCGTCTTGGAGGCCTCTTGCGGGCCTTTTGGGCCGTCGTAGACCATCTTGAGGCCATCTTGGGCCGTCTTGGGTGCATCTTGGAGCCATCTTAGACGTCTTTGAGGCCATCTTGGCTGTGTTGGAGGCATCTTGGAGGCCATCCTGGGCCATCTTGGCCGTCTTGGAGGCCATCTTGGGCCAACTTGGGGCAACACAGGTATTGACGTATGTTTTCGGGAATCTCCCGGGACCCCGGCGGGACGGGCCGAAGCCCCAGGGGGAGTTTTTTGGGAAAAAGAGCCAAAACGATAGGATTCGGCACGCCAGGCACCCCTGCGATGAATCGACAGGGGGCGGCGGATCTGGTGGCCTGCGGCCCATCCCGCCACCGTTCCAAGGGGCCTTTCTGCATGCTCCTTGGGGGTGGCCTCTTGGAGGCTTCTTGGGCCCCCTCGGGGCCTCTCGGGCGCCCCTGGGGCGTCTTGGGGGGGCCTCCTGGAGGCCTGCTGGAAGTCTCTGGGGCCATATTGGGTGGACACAGCGGGGCAGTTCTCGGGGGCCCTTCCAGCGCCCTTCTTGGCATCTCCTGGGGCCATCCTGGAGGCCTGCTGGAAGGCGGGGGCCTCTCCAGTTCCCCTCTTGGGGCCCCTCCTTGTGGCCTCTGTGGGCCCCTGTGGCCTCTCTTCGGGGCCGCGTGGCCGGGCCTCGGCAGACCTTGGGGGTCCTCTCGGGCCGTCCTGGGCGCGCGCACGGACCGAGAAGGCGAGCGCGCGAACACGATCCCTCGCCCTCATTCTTCCAGACCTTCCGTGCTGACCTTCCACACTCTTGCGCTTCCTGAGATGCTGAGTTGTCTTGCGCTTCCCGATGCTTTCAATAGTTTCAATGCACCACCTTCCGCGCCTTCCGCAGAGGTCGGAAGGTACGGAAGATGGAAGTGGAGGGATCGCGCAGCGACTTTCACTGATGTTTTAGACCAGGCCACGTCCCGGGGCACGCAGGGCAGCCCAAGACATCCCGAGAGGGGCCCCCGAGCGCGCCAGAGCGGCCCCCAGGGGCCGCACCCGGGGCACGCGGGAGGTGCCGGGCTCCCTGCGAGACGTGCCGGGGGCCCTTCGGGAAAGCCGCGACCCAAGGCCCCTGATAGTATCAGGGGCCTTGGGTCGCGGTTGGTGTCCGCCGCGTTGGCGACGCACTCACCAAATTGCCCCCTTGCGAGGGCGACGTGCACGCTCGAGAGGACGGCTGGCCCTTTCGGCGGCCGACGCACGGGCGACGCATGCGCGACGCACCTCTTGTCGCGAAGGGGGGGGGGGTCAGCACGCCGGTCGTCTTACTAGGCCTGAACACCTGATACGGTCGAAAGTCGGGGGCATGGGGGCGGGCCCTCGCAGAGC